CCTGGGTCTAACAAAATAAGCTAAGGTTTTATCTTCATAAAAGAAGTGAAATCACTGTTTTTAACCCATAAAATCACCATCAGCAGTACTGAATTCTAATTTTCTTGCAAATGGCTTCCTGAGTCTATTCATAGTAATATGTGCTTTAGGACAAAGACTGTTAGTCTATCTGAGCAAACCTGGTGTTTTCCCTTTAAGAAAATAAGTTCAATATCTTCTCCCTTTCCAGAACAATCAAACCCCAAACTTTGTTAGTATCTCTGTCCTGAAGAGTTTAAAACCAAAATCACACTTCTGAATTTAATATGCCAATTCTGATAGGAAGAAGGCATAATAGCACAAACAAGACAATCACAGGAGAAACAGAAGTTAGAATATATGGACACAAATCATTACATGCAAGTACTTATAGCAATAAAGCAAAATAAGGAAAGAAAAAGTCAAATTGGAACATAAAAAGCTACAAGATATGACACCAGTCTATTTCTAAGTAATTTTTCCATATGGCATTAGATGTTCTTTAAAATCTTTCAATTATTTCAAAAAGATACTTCAAAATAAGAATACGTATTTTTATATATCACACCCAAGAAACAGATCTTTGTGTATGGGACATAGATCGCTTATATTATAAAGAGAATATGTATAGTTTCTTTTATTAAATACCAAAGTTACAAGTCTCCTAGCCTAAATCGTGTACTTGTGCACTCAGTATATCAACTCTCTCTGAACTAAGAAAAATAAAATACACAGCAAACAGTACACCTAGCACACACAAGTATTTCACTTATATTCACTGAACAAACCTGTGATATCCTCCAGTTTACATTCATGAATTCTTTCTGTCAGTAGTAGTAGTAGTAGTAGTAGTAATAGAAATGGTATTTCTGACAACACAAAACAAGTCTAAAGAAAATAATACATACTACACAGTGGTTCTCAATCATAAATTTAATAGTAAGACCCATTTGGCCAGATTTTTAAATAAATATGATATTAAAATGTGTTCAAATTTTATGTAGATCATTAATATTACTTCCTATTTAAAATGGTAGTTTATTTTCTTGAAGTGTAACTATTATGTAGCATTATTTATAGTTTATTGAAACACATTATACTATATTATGTGTGCCAAGCACACAAATCCACTATAGTAAAATTTCAACTATATTACCATAGAATTCAAGATAGATCAGTCTGCTACACTGTAATTCAAAGCACATGAAAATCATAAAAAACAACAGTGTAGTTAATTTATAAAGGGGATAGATGATGATTAAATCCAATTGGTTAACTTGAAAATCAGCTTATTTAACACCAAGATAGTGTCAATACCACGTACTTTACTTTCAAAGGCTTAATATGGCCTATTTAGAAGATTATATAACCAATATAAAGCCTTTGGCTAAAAAATTCTTTACTTGTACTATAATTCCATTAAATGCAAAATGTACAGAAGCTTTATGGAAACATTTGTTTCTACATGAGGCCACTTATGGATAATATACAGGTTTGTCTGCACACATTATCTGTGATTTTACTATTCTGTAAAAACTTTGGCACCAACTATATCAGGAAGTTTTATATTAGCACAAATGTAATTTGTTCTGGCACCAAACTACTGTTTTCATTTTAGTAACTACAGACAGTCAAAATGAATGGAGTCCTTTGGTTGTGCACAACAAATGCATTCTACAATACTTGTTTGTGTTTTTTTTTAAAAAAAAGAAAAACTATCTTTCAGGATCTGATGTTAAAAAAATATTAACATTGCTTGGCATTATACTACGATATATGCATCTTGATTATTGGTAACGATTCCCCAAATCATTATTGTATGAAACCAGAAAAAATATAAAAGTAATTTTATTTGAAAGGATTTTTAGAAATTAGTGTGCAGAGAAGTTATTAGGACTTTGTGGACACCAATTATATGCTTAAATAAACACTTGGAAATTACTGCAAAACAACATAGTATGAATATTGTGGACCTGGGTATTTTTTTCTTTTAAATCTCACTCCCCCTAACAGAGGAACTTAGGATATTCAAGTAATATAGCAGAAAACAATGCCTTTGATATAAGATTAGGCAAAAAGTCATACATTTATTTTCTTCTTCATCCAGTTTGGCAGAGGAACACCACAAATCTTACAGGCCAGTTGATGTTCGCTTTTTCATGCTCCGTCGCTGAGCTAAGCTTGAAGCAGCAACAGGCTCTAAGACTGGTTGAAAGGTCTTGTGAGCTAGGGCAGAATATGTGGCAACCACTGCTCCCTACAATAATAAGAAAATGTCACAAATTAAATAATGAATCCTGGAGGTAAAGAAACAAAACAAAAAATTAACAAAACAACAACAACAAACAACACTTCCACATCTTATATGAGACATTTAACTAGAACACACTTTTTTCCCCAGGAAAGTAACTGAGTATATTCAATCTAGGCAACAATGTACCCTTGATGAATTAATACCTGATTACTTGTATTTTTTTCCTTTCAATAATTATATTTCTTAAAAAATGTTAAAACACTAGATTTAAAATATGAGTTCAATGTTTATGAATATAGGAAGTAGTACAAATGGCTATAATTTAGGAACTAATAGCAATCTTTTATTTTTATATGAAATTTCCATTTAGTACACTTGTGGCCCAAATATCTCTCAGAACAAGGCAGATACAAACAAAAATTTTATCATCAGAAAGTCAGCAGTAAAGAAGAGTATATAGTTGTTATTGGAAAAAAATTGTCTTTAAAATTTATCTTTAAAAAAGAAATTAAATATACAGGGTCCAGCAGATGGTGTAATGGTTCATCCTGAACTCCCACATGGCCAATCGCAGTTCGAGTCCTGGACATGGTGCCTTGCAAATTATGCTGGGTGCATGTGCATACATGCCCATACTCACAGGAGGAGAATCAAGGAGAAAGGATTGTGGTGTGATCATCTCCCATGGGAGAGGTGATTTCTCACTTTGCCTCTCATGGTCTCTGTCTTTATCTCTCTTGCAAGCACCTCTGCCCTAAGGCAAAAACCTCTTACACATACATACATACATAAATAAATATCATACATACATTAAGGAATTGCCTAAATGTCATCAATGAATGGTGTACAATAGCTTTATTAGATATTATGTATTTAAAAGGTGTATAAAAGTATGTTTGTTTTACCTTAATGACATGTGATGTATCATTTCTCTTTGGCTGGTCATTCAGCAACTGGTCTCTGTGGGATATCCATGAGTGCTTTAATATTTGTTCAGTAGTATACCGCTGATGTGGGTCCATATGAAGCATATGGGAAAGCAAATCCTAAATTAAAATGAAAAAAAATGAAACTGTAGCACTTCATGTTTTTCAAAATATGAAAGCATCAGTAGTAGCTTTGGATTTTGTTTTATTTGACCTAAACACATAGGAAAAATAAAACCTATCACTGCAGTTTACTATCAAGAGAGAATCTTGAAACATATTTTTCAATATACAGTAAATTCTTATTTATCATTTTTAAGTCAGGGGATGCCAAATCTGTAGAACTGGAATGTAGTTAGTAAGGGAAGAGGAAAATGTAAATTGTCAGGAGTTATTCTGGAGAGGAGGAAAATATAAAGTAGCAGGAGTTATCCTGGAATGTGCTAAAAGGTCAAGAGGAGAAAGGAGCTACTGAATTTTGCTGGTAAGGTGGCCCCCAAGGTGTAAAGGTATGTGTATATAGACACAGTACAAAAGGGAGAGTCCTATCTAGTTAATTCTCTCAATAACTAGAGGCTTACTTTGTAACAGAAAGCAAAACATAAATTCAATGTTAGCAACTGGTTGCTAGCATAGTAGTAGTTGGAGCATCATAAGTTTTTCATCAGAGAAATTATTAATATGGTAAGGTGGCCCCCAAGGTGTAAAGGTATGTGTATATAGACACAGTACAAAAGGGAGAGTCCTATCTAGTTAATTCTCTCAATAACTAGAGGCTTACTTTGTAACAGAAAGCAAAACATAAATTCAATGTTAGCAACTGGTTGCTAGCATAGTAGTAGTTGGAGCATCATAAGTTTTTCATCAGAGAAATTATTAATATGCTCACTTACCTAATACTAAAACAAAATTTTAAGTGTATTACAAGGTGTAATACTTTTAAAATAAAAATACTATACCTGGTATATTTTAAAGAAAGAAGTAAACTCTTCTTAACAAGCATTTTTAAATATAGAAACAAAATAGTCATTTGCAAGCTTTTCATCAACAGCAGAAACAGTGAAACTAAAGACTCAAAACAGTAATATCAGATTCTAAAAAGTAATGTAAGTAGTTGCAAAATAAATCTGCTGGAAGAAAAACAAATGTGCATAAATACATGGAAAATTAATATTAAAAGGCAAAGTCATTTCAATAAAACGGACGTAAATCACAATCATAAAAATGATACAATGTCAAGGACTTCTACTTCTGGCCAAGATGGAACACCAGGAATGGGATTTACCCACCTGCCTGAAAAACCATCACCACCACCACCACCACCACCACCACCACCAGCACCACCAACACACACACACTCTACCTGAAACAGTTTGCAGCAAATAAGATGTTAGGTAATGAAGGCAGATGACCCCTGATGGGAAACCAAGCAAGCATTATGACTTCTCCAGCTAACACCTTGAGAAAGTTTTCAGGTTGCTGTGCAGGAAAGGGAAATGTAGGCAGAATCTGGTAGATATGAGTTTAGGAGACAAAACTGAGAGTCAGGGAGAGATCAAAACAGAGGTAGAAGGTCAAAGTACATGAGCGTGAGAAGAACAGAGGAAGAGAGAATTATGGAGATTTACAGAGGGTCTCCCTCTGGTATTCAACAAACTACTACTGATAAATGTGTGAATGTGAGAAAACAACCAAAGGCTTGGGAAATACTACCTGAAAGGACTGGAAGAAAAATCAGAATTCTTGCAGGGTGAGAAATATTATCTATTCCCAACTGCAAGAGTAGTAAACTTCATAATTCATAAACTATTTGATACAGTACATGGAAGCATCTTATATGAATAGTTAATAGCCTAGATTAAACACTGTTATGGTCCTGCCTAAAAAATACTAGAAGAATCCAAAAGTATCAAACTGCTTCTAGTAGCTGAACTGCTGCTCATAATAAAGATAAAAAATATTTATAGTAATATAAAAGTGTCTGGTATCAAACAAGGTAAAATTTACTTTATCTGGCATCTTATCAAAAATTAGCAGGCGAAAAGCGAGTGTGTGAACTAAGGCTAAAGACCGCCTTGGAACCTGTGCACTCTATTTGTCCACTCTAAGTGCCAGTAACTCCTGATTCCAACTTCTGCCCTGTCATTCTTCCAGGGTCCTGAGAGGCAGAAACAAGTGTGGAAACCAAGGGTAGAGCCTGCCTTGGAACCTGTGTACTCCATTTCTCTGCTCCAGGTGACAGTCCCTCTTGTTTCAACTTCCTCCCCCACCATTCTTCGTGGTTCCTCCATGGTAGAAGCAAGTGTACAGACTGAGGCCAGAGACCACCTTGGAACCTCCCCTCTCTCCCATTCGTCACAGACTTTATAATTTTCAAAAGCACATGGCTTGCAACCCATACTTTCTTTCTCAGTTGAGACCCAGCAATTCAGCCTCAGGTGCATTTCATCTCTAGTCTAGGAGGCATTTGAAACACCCAGTACCAGCAACAAAAGTATACGTTAAAGGGTGAGCATTAGGGAGATAGGGCTATAAAGAGATCACAGATTGCATTCTCACGTATGCCTTTGAGTGTTGAAAATTAACTCTAAGAAATGAGGAACAAAGATATAATCCATTAGATGACCAGAAACCACTGCAGAGGCACAATAAATAAAGAGAAACCAAGAAAACATCTCTTCCCCAAGGGAAAAAACAATTCCTAATCATCCATAGACAGTACAATTTGTCAGATAAACAATTCAGAATATTCATACTGGCAAAACTTAACGAGATGCAAGAGAAAATAGACAATGAATTCCAGAAGACACAAGAGAAAAAGAGACGATGAGCTACAGAAGATGAGGAAGACCTTCTGTGATTTGAAATAAGAAATAGACACCATAAAAAAATCAAATGGAGCTGTTGGAGATGAAGGTTGTAATACAGGAAATCAAAACCTTCCTTGAAAGTGTTTAAAGCAGACTAGATCATGCAAAAGATCGAATCTTGGATGTAGAAGACAAAACTTCTGACTTAGGAAAAAAAAACACCAAAAAGATAGAATAAACAAAAAATGAGGATAATATATGAGAAATACTAGATTCCATTAAAAGTCCACACATCCACATAACTGGTATACTGAAAGGTGAAGAAACAAATCAGGGTATTGAAAAATCTATTTCATGAAATCTTGCAACTTTCCAACCCTAGAGAAGCATTCAAACATTCAGACCCAAGAAATACAAAGGATTCCAAATAGCATCAACCCGAGACCTTCTCCATAGCCCATCATAGCCAGAGTAGCCAAAATCACAGGCAAAGATAAGATATTAAAATTGGCAAGAGAGAACTATCAAGTTACTTATGAAGGTTATCCCAACAAGTGAACAACAGTCTTCTTATTGGAAATAATGCAAGCAAGAACAGAATGGGTAAATTGACATTCAAAATGTTAAATGAAAAACAATTTCAATCAAGATTACTATACCCAGGAACATTATCCTTCACATGGGAAGAAAAGATAAAAAAAAAAATTCCCAGATAAACAAAACCTGAAATAATTTACCAACTCCAGACCAACTCCTCAAGAAATTCTGAATATAGCCAATTTAAAAGTAGGGACAAGTCTGGAAATACCAATAATAACACTGAATGTTAATGGTTTAAATTCTCCAATCAAGAGACACATAATTGCTGAATAGATTAAAAAAAAAAACATAAAACAGAAACCCTCTATATGCTACCTACAAGAAACCCACCTCATGGATAAAAACATGCATAGAGTAAAAATGAAGGGCTAGAAAAAGATATTCCTTGCAAACAGAAACCAAAAAAGAGCAGAAGTCATGATACTGGTCTCAGAAAAAAAAGCTTTAAGGCAAAAACAGTAAGAAGAGATAAAGAAGGGCATTATATAGTAGTAAAAGGGCTAATTAATCAAGAAGATATAATGTTTGTATTTTGGAGAGGTTTCGCTATAGGGCGCGTGCGCTCGTCAGACAGACAGAGAGAGAGACATAGAGCCAGAAAGCGAGAAATCACCCCCCAGAGGGGATGGTCACGCCGCAATCCCTTCTCCTCCATTCTCTTCTCGGGATCTTGGGCACGCACGCACACACGCCCGGTGTGAGTTTTAAGCCACCGGGTCCGGGACGCGAACCGCGGTCGACTACGTGGGAGTCCAGCGACATAGCCATTACACTAACTGCTGGTTCTCTAGAAGATATAATGTTAATGACTATTTATGTACCCAAATATGTGAAGGAAAGACTGCAAGATCTAAAACGAGAGAGAGACGGCAGCACACTAATTTCTGGGGACCTCAATACCACATTATCGCCTTTAGAAAAATCAATTAGACAAAAATAATGAAAGAGATTCAGGACCTAATGATACCATAAATCAGATGTACTTGACAGATATCTACAGAACTTTCCACTCAAAAACCACAAAATATACATTTTTCTCACGCTTGAATGGTACCTTCTCGAAGATTGACCACACGATAGAGCACAAAGCAAGCTTTCCGGATTTAAAGGTATAGTAACTGTATAGAGCATTATTTCCATCTTTATCATGATAGAATTAAATTTGATATCAATTTCAGAAATAAAACCTCAAAAATATGTACAAAAATCCAGCGCATGGAAACTAAATAACCAACTCCTGAATGACCTCACAACTCAAGAACACATTAGATTGAAAACAAAAGATTCATGGAAACAATACAAAGAGTTCAAGAGTTTCCATAATCTATGAGACACCACAAAAGTAGTCATAAGAAGGTAGTTCATATAGTGCACATAAGAAAAAGATTGGAAAGGTGGCAAATGGACAAATTAACATCATGACTCAGGGAATTGAAAAACAAAAACAACAACAAAATTCCAAGAAAATTCCAGGAGCAAAGAAAGAATAAAGATTTGAGCAGAGGGACCAGCAGTTAGCGTAATGGCTATGTCACTGGACTCCCACATAGTCGACCGC